ATCATGTTATTTATTCTTTCATCTAATGTATTTGGAGCAACTTGCTAGCAAGATGCAGCCCTATTTATCCTTCTAAGGACAACAATAGCAGGAATAAATGTTAAACTAAAGGAAGGAATAAAAAAAAATAGCAGCTCTATTTGTGCTATGCCGAGATGCATTTCTTGGCAGCCCCAGAGATTCAACAGTCTGGTATTTATCACGACGAAACGCAGAAATGTCTGATGATTACATGAAGGAAAATAAAGAGACTGAGCGTAAACTGCAGACTGAGAGATAAGGGCACGTTTTTACAGCAGGCAGCTGCTAAAGCGGCGGTATGTCAAGTCAGCCCCGTGCCGCAGCAGAGGAGGGTGCACGGGACAGGGCAGTGAGGGGGCAGAGCCCAAACCAGTGATAAATAGGGCGGTTTAATACCAAGGAGGAGAATTAGCCATCCTGCTTAATCACATTATTCAACACCATGAGGATTGCTTTTAAGGAATTTATCCCTCCTTCATCTCCCATCGGATAATACTGCAAAATGCTGGTGTTGGCTACGGAGACTATCTAAGATCTTTCTTTTTGAAACGAGCTGCTGGCATGGTGTTCAGCAAGAGGAGTCTGTCCGGCAGCGCCCAGAGCCGTGGCAGAGATTTAGCATCCATCTGAGTCCCTCGAGGACATGGTCTGCCCCCGGCGACAAGGTGGGTCCTGCCCTTGAGGAGCACGCTGGATTTGGCCCTGGCTCTGAAGATGGTGCTTGGCATGTGCCCTGATGCAATGGGGGTGGGTTGCACTGTTAAAGACCCTCTCTGTGAACAGGTTTAACCCTCTCAGGGGTTTGTGGGGGTGGAATGGAGGAGAGTTTCTCTTTCGGAGGGTGAGAAGCTTCCAGTCTCTGTTGGAGTCATGATACCAGGATTACTGAAACCAAGAGTTGAAGAGTAAGTTTTATTACTGAATCTGAATGGCCCAAGGAGCCCAGGGAGCTCCTGGTGCAAGTGAGACAGTCACTGTACGGCTTCGGTCAAGGTTGCTTGAAGTTAGGGTTAGGATTTGGGAACAGAAAGGTACAAATCTCTCAATTATCGCCAAGTCTGTAAAGTCTGCTAACCTACAGCAAACATGCTGAGGTGGAGGCTCATGTTGGTCGTGGAGAACAGCTGCTGTGTTGTCGAGCAAGGAGTGATCACCGGTTTAACTGGTCGGGTTAAGATTTCAGATCAAAAAAGGAAATGTGCCATTGCCTGGACTGTTCTGGACATCGCACAGGCCACGTTCTTGGTTGAAGGACGAAGGATGATGAAATCAATTATCCTCTACAGAGGAAGAGAAGCTTCTGGGTTTTAGCAGTTGCATCCCAGTGGGAGAAGTCCTCCGCTTCTCCGACATAAGCGCAGAGCCAAAGTAACACATGATCTTTCTGTTTTGGCTTCATTTAATCCTGTCACAGTACGGCGTATTTGATGCAAGATTCAAGGGTATGATGAATTGCACTCTAGAGCTGGCATTTCCTGAGGACAATTCAATAAAAGCATACAGACACGCTGCATATGGAATAGATCTCACATTCTTTGTCGGGTTACCGTAGGTAGTAGCATGAGTCTCTGCCTGGCAAACTCTTCTGACAGATGCTTTCCTCATCCTCTCTGCCCCAAATGAAACCACCAGCCTTTTAGGATCGATAATCTCCTCTCGTGCAGGTGAGGAGACTGCTGAGTTACCCCAGTAGCCTCCTAGGCCGGAGCGCAGACCCTGTCACTCAACAGTGCCAAGGGCATCTGAGGCAATTAAAGAAAAATGAGAATTGATTTGAAGAATGTAATAATCATTCATCTAGCTGGGGAAAAAAAAAAAAAAAAAAAAGGATTTTATCATTGATATATTAGAAAGAGTAACATTTACTCTCTGATAAGCATTATGGCACCCACAGAAATGAGTCTGAAACCTCAAGGACTTGCACGGTAACCGATTTAATTCTAAAGAACAAGAAAACAATAATGTTGCAAATCAATCCAAGAGGCTAAGGCGGCTAGAAGTGGGCAGGGGAAGGGTTTCTGACTGCAGCTCTTGGCCCAAAGTAGCCAAGTCTGTCCCTGGACCCCACGCCTGCCTTGCCATAGCAATTTTGCTTCCCGGCATGTTGTGCCCGGCTTGTTTTTGTAATCCCTCTTGCAGATGCCCTCGGAATTACACGGCTGTTCACCCCTCGTGGGTCTCACGTGTCCTGTCCTATTGAGGCAGATGTGCTCGTTGCAGGGTAAACTTACATGGGGATGGTGATCTCTGGGTACAGAGGACAAAAACCCAAAGATGAGTAACAAAGCGAGGTGGGTTTGAGGGAGAAACTGAAAACTGTACGTATCTCTGCGTGTGCTTTGGTGGCTGCCCTTGGACAGGCCGTTTTGTCACTCTGTGCTCAGCTTCTCGTTGCTCTAACAAGGGACAAGGAGCTTCATTGATCTTTGTAAAGCATTCAGTAAGCGCCACATTTTTCTTTCATGTTCTGGATGTCCCTGCTATAGAACACATACATCAAACCCTGCCCGTAATGGAGTAATTAAACGGCACTGCTAAAGGGATGTCATAGGATGGGACTGATTACAGCTCACCCAGAAATGTCTTCCCAAGTCCCAGGTCCTTTGACGTGATTCTCCCCCCTTTCTCTGAATTTCTTCCTGCATTAATTTCAGCCGGTCCTGGGATTATTTGAAAAAGGGCCTTGGGGGACTTGTTCAAAGGCACTGCCACCGCGGACGACTTTGCTTTCTGAACTGAAGCATTTCACTCCTATCTGTCTGGACATATGAGCTGCTCAGCGCTGCTTCATTAGGCAAGTTATTTTTAAATTCCCAGAAAGAGCAAAACATTGAGAGAGGAATTAGCATTTGCTGTTGAAACAGCTGCAAAAGAGAATAGGCAGAAAGGCACTCCGATTCCCCCCCGCGAGCCCTGTGATTAACCAGACAGCAGCACCCACAGTCGCTGACACACGGCTCAAGCTGCACACGTCAGAAATCACGCCCGAAGGATTGGTGAGTGACCGCCAAACCTGTGTTTTGGATGTAAAACCATCAACACTGAACAAGAAAATGAAAGATGGCTCTTCCCTCCAACCCCACCTTGTGTACCCCACTTTCTCTTTCCCCCGTTTTTCTCTAAAGGACTCTGACACTTTAAAAAGCCTCCATTCTGGTTTCTCAACACAAATGAATGAAAAGATAGAGCCTGCCCAGAGTCCTTGCGTCCCCTAAACAATAACTAAAACCCAGCGGGCACCCGATATTTTCAAAATGCCCAGGGACAGCAATAAAGCTGACGTTACTTGGCGGTGTTCTTGCTTTGTAACGCATTTAAAGTTGCCAGTGGCTAATACCGCTCTTACAGCAGGGAGTTAAAGCAAAAGGCATGCCAATAAAACTGTCAGAGGCACGTTTTGGTAGCTGTCTTTTTGCAAATGCTGATTGCCCCACGGCTTGCGCCGCTCAGGGTAGCTATGGCTCACACCGATAATGTTACACGGGTGAAAAAAAAAAGTGTTGGAAAGCCGTAGTCCGTTACGGATATGGCCTAAACCTGAAAAGGGAGGAGAGATGACTCAAAATGGCCTTTTCACCTAACTGGGAGCACACACGTACTGCAGCTAAGGCTGCTGGCGCCTGCCTGCTTCACCTCTTCCCTTCGCCCATGCCTGCAGCCACAGCGTCTCTGTATTTATTGAGAAGAAATCTAGCAGGAGCTGGTCTAATAACCTGCTCCCAATTCCAGCCTAACGAAGGCTGCCGGATTCCTCTGAATTAATTCTTGTTCAAACTAGAGCGTTTCCTTTGTAAAAAGAAGAAGAAGAAAAAAAAAAATCTCATTAAGTATTTCCAGTGGTTCTTCAGTGACAGGCACGCTGCCACAGTCAGCATATTGGGGGTGGGCTCTTTCAGAGGACAACTTATCCCCCCCCAGCTAAGAATATACAGCAATCTGTTTTGATGTCCAGCTACCAAACACCACTTGGACATATAAAGAACCCTTTAGTGTTAAATCTGCCACGTGCGTCCCTAGAGACTGCATTTAAAGTGTCCCTCAACCTCCTACTTCTTTATCAGCTGTGTTCCTTGGGCGTTTCTTGTGAAGGTGTGTTTTCCAGTCCTCGGGGAAGTCTTCCTGAAGCCCACAACAGAGGTAATAAAGGCTCCCTTGTCTTCCTCGGTGCTTTCATGGAAGCATTAGCTCCTCTTGGCAGAGCATCTCATTAGGAACTCATGTTCAGCTGATTATTCCTCTTCTGAATCACTGTTTTCTATGACTTTTGTCACCCGCCCCATAGTCCAGCTGCCCGCTCTATTCTTAGGCTGACGACTTTACATCTGGTGGCACCGAAAAGCATGTTGTTTACTTAAGCTCAGCTCATTAAGTGATCCAGATTAGGTTTGGTATCAACGACCCGCCCCTAACTCCTGTGCACCTCCAGATCACCAGTAATGATTTTATATTTCCTTGTCAGTCACTGATCACGCATTAAGAGCTGTGGGGTCAAGAACCCATAGGAAGGGAGCCGGGCCTCGTTCAGCGGTGTTTCTGCTTACAATTACGCTTGGAGATGTAGCAGTTTTAGCTTTCAGTCCAATTAATATTTGTCATATTGACTTACATCGTTCCTCTTCCTCAATCCAAATATCGTGAAAGACGAGATCGGATGTCTTACTAACTGCAGGTTCGTTCTCACAGCACTACTGCTTTAAACCATGACATCAAGGAAAGTATCTGGCTAACCTGACAAAGCCTACTTTTCATAACGTTATGGTCCCTTCTTGGAATTATTTATTAGCGAGGCCTCTTACCTACATTGCTCTACATGTCAGCATGACAGAGACACAGCACGTTTGCTCCAGTAAAGGCAATCCCATCGTTTCACCCCACCTCCAGATGGGCTCAGCCCTTAACTGCATCTTTTGTAGGGCCCTGTTTTATTGCAAAATGAAGGATCTCTGCCATCTCTATTGCAGGCAGGCTGGTGCTTGTTCATGACCACTCCAACAGGACACACGGATGAAGGAGTCAGATTTGAAAAGGGAAACTGCGGAGTCAGCATAATGAGAAGTGGTAGGCAGCTTCTGGTTGTCGAATGAGAACTAATTAAATGGTTTGGAAACCCGTAACCAACTTCCTCTCAAAAATGTGCAACCGCACTTCTCTACAGCAGAGTTCTACCCAAACCTGCCAGTTGTTGTTCCTTCTGAGGTAGCCTTCATCCCAAAATGCCAAGTAACCGGTTTCATTAACGTTTTTAGGAGACAAATAGCCACAGCAGATTCCGTCTGGCCTCTTCTCCAGCGACGGTTACCTGCGCGCGGCCGGGCCAAACGGCCTTGTGTGCCACTGGGGACTTCTGCTCAGAGACGGGTCTCCAAACCAACCACGCTCGGTGGTGGAAGAGGCTGTGTTATTTTGCCCGATGCTGCGGAAACCTTTGCAGCTGTGATGTAAAATCCAGTGGCTCCACAGCCTCCTGCACCACATTCTGCACCGTGGAGACTCTGGGCAGAGCTCAGAGATGGTCTCCAAACCCCACGCGTTTGTTTTGACGTTTCCAGCTCTCGCCTTTGAGAGCTTCGCACTGCTGTGTGGGAACGCTCATACCCGGGAGCTAAGTAACACCGAGCAGACTCGTTTTTCTGTCTAAACAGAGAAAAAAGGAAAATAGCTTCAAGTGTTTTTAACACTTAGAACTGAGAAACAAAACCTCCTTCTTAGAACTCTTCACCAATACAGTAGTGGGACCGTCTAATTGTAGCATCTTGCGATTGTGCCGTTTCTTAGCGTGTAACGATTTGTTGTTGGTGTTCTTTGCTGCTCATTTTGAGGCGAGGCAATGGAACAAGGTTTACGGGACTGCTGTAGATCAATCCGCATAGGAAAAATCCTGATCCAGAGCGACGAGGAGACTCAAAGAGCCAAAGTGTACTATGCGAAGTTCCCACCCGACATTTACAGGAGAAAAGTTCTTCTAATGTACCCCATACTAAGTAAGTGTCTTTCACCACTGTGTGCAGTTAGACTCATCTGAACAGTGAGTGTGTGGCATTTAAAGGAAAATTTCCAAATTTGAGGGGCTGTGATTAGGTTTTTTGCTTGCTTTAGGTGACACAGTAGGGAATTTATGGGGCTGTGCCAGACTACGTATTGGTCAGCTCGCACCAGCATGGGCGCAGAGCACACCATTTGGGCATGCCTGCGTTCGTGAGAAAGGCATTAAGACTTGATAGAAATTTAATTTTTTAGATTTTGCCATGAGAAAAGCCTCAAACAGTATTTTTCTCATACTATTGAAAGACATTTTTGGATTAATATTATAATCCTAGAAGTAAATGATTTTAAAATTAAATACAGTTACATACTACCAAAATAAAAAATAACCTGGTAAGCATGGTAAGGGGTTTGTCAGGATTAAGTAACTTTTCCAGTCTAAGATTTAATTCTGGTTCTACACATGGAGCTCTTAATTGTCATTTTACAATTTTTGATGAGCTGTTTTGCCTCAAGGCTTTAATAAAATCCACCGACTTCAGTGCTTTAAACCTGGCAGGTTGGCTGTTTCAGAGCAGAGAGGAAGTTCCTTCATCGGGAGACCAAAGTTTTCTACAATTAATTTGTGCAAAGGTGAGAGTTTTCCAGGGGGAAAGGACAGTTTCAGCATTCAGTTATGTTACGAATGTTAACACGGATATTCTGGCATGGCCTACGACAAGTTCTTCTATCAGGGAGGAAAAAAAATCTTACTTTTTCCCCTTTTAGGTACTGGCAATGCTGTCATTGAGGCTGTCAAAGTTCTTCTGGAACACAGCGCACAACCAAGTGTCATTAACCTGCTAAGCCTCTTCTCCACACCTCATGATAAGCTGAGGCCTTTGCCCTCTCTCAAAAGGTGCCAAATCCATCATCCAGGAATTCCCAGAGATCACAATTTTAAGTACAGAAGTTCATCCTGTCGCACCAACACACTTCGGACAGAAGTGTTTTGGAACAGACTGACACACTTTGGAACAAACAGAAATGACTATATGATGTTACAAGAGGGGTTTTTTTTCTATGTTTTATTATCGTTGAGTTGGTTGAGGGCATGTTAAAAAATCTTTTTGGCCAAAAGGGAAAATACTGGACTGAGGTGAGTTCTGGGCAGTTGCTGCCTGAGCACTGCATCGGCTACAGCAGCAGCACTGTGTCACTGCAGAGTCCACCGTCTGCATGTTGGGGTTGTATAAGTTGCTGCACTCGCTGCTTTAACTTATTTATTCTTCGACGGGCTGAATTTTTGGGCTGCAACTGGATTTACAGCATCTAACTAGGTAGCGACTGCCAGTAAACATCATGAGACGTTTGGACCTTTTCCACAATGCATCATACAGATTCACCCTACAGACTGTACCAGTGAAAGTGGAAATGGATTTTACCACTTAAAGAGATATTTGTGTGTTAAAAACTCATGCTACCAGCTGAATACTTTATCTCTTTTGTTACCTGTGGCAGTGACTACAGACAGCCTGAGGAACTTCTCTTTCCCAGTGCATTTACCTAGCGCGTTCGACAGAACTTTACGCATCCCGCATTTATCACATTGTTTGTACGCAACTTTCTTTCAGAAGCTAAGGAAAAAATAAAGTCCATTTAAAGAGTAAATAGCAGCCCAGCTTTGAAACCACAGGTAGCAGGGTGTGCACTCAAAATTACTGCTTTTACACTGCCCAGTTCTCCAGTTAACAGCCTTTTTAAAGGCCAAAAGTACTAACTGGAAAAACTATTCTCCTGCGTTGGCCACCCACAATTATGTTTGCAGCATCAGCTGCAATAATGCATGGAGCAAAAAGACCTCGGCATCAGTATTTTGAGAGACACTAAGTTTCCCCACGGGGGTGCGACTGCACATTTACGTGCTGCCTTGAAGAGCGCAGACACACAACGTCTCCAGCAAACGCCAGGCTGGTGCTGTACCCGGACACCCGCCTGTCGGTCCAGCTTCTGCACCCAGCTGGAACCACAGCACGCCGGGGAACCTGCCCGACCGTCCCCTGGCACTGGAATGAAGCAGAAACAGAAGCAGCGCCAGGCGCAGCGTAAGGATATCACTTTTGAGGAAGCAGAAGAGAACAAAATGGACCTTGTTTGGTCACTCAGGCACGCGGTTCTTCCACATGTTGTTCTGCCTCATTTTTACACAACTTTTCTATTTGTTCCAAAAATCTGACGCATCGATATTGATCTGAAGTGGTTCCAAAGCTATCAAATTATGGTTTCTACCTGGCCGAGAGGTTGGTACAACCAAGTGAGGCTGAGCTGCTCTGAAGGAACGGGAAAAACTGGCCAGAACGAACTACACCAAAAGTTCCTGAATAAGGGTCAGTTACTTGGAAACCTTTAAAGCTGATTCTAAATCTGAGCTGGATGGCTGTGTTATCATGAAAACATCTGTTTTAATAATAATCAGAAAATAAAAATTGCTTTTATGTACTACCTAACGCACAGTGCTGCAGCCGGACAGCAGGCAGGGACACGGCCCGCAGATGCTGTCAGGCACACGGCTGCGGCTGCGGCTGGGCAGAGAGGCGACACTGAAAGAACGACACAGCTGTAAACAGAACCAGATGCAGAAAGGACACGGGAACCTGCTCCGAAAACTCCTGTAAATCCCCACGGCTTCAGAGGCAGCTCCGACACTCCCATCTTAAAAATACACTTCAGTCAACAGAATGGAACAGAAAGTCACCAACTCATCTTCCTGCTTCTCCATACAAGGAATTTAGAGTTTTAAAAGGCACAAACAGCACCTCTGCTGGTGCTAAATTCCCATAATTTTCCTATTGGGTTTAGCTGCCACCTTCCTCTCAAGATCCCCCTCCAGAGCACATTTTGCTAGAAACGCGGTGACTAATTCTATGGCTGTCTTTCACCAAACGCAGCTTAAGGTCCACCACAAGACTGACACGAGAAACACAGGTTTAGATTGACAGGACTGAGGTGCTGGAGTGTGTTCAGACAAACAAGACCTCGATCAAAATTTAGCAAATTACTGAACACTATTAAAAATGCCTCTTTAAGGTACAAAATTCTCCCCCAGCTCTTTAAAACTTCAGCACACCAGACCTGCTGATCTAAAACCAGCCAGTTGGAATAACCTCCTGAGATACTGTTAGAATGGAAAATACTTTGTTGTGTAAGACATACACATGGACTCCTCCCCGCAGCAGAAGAAGAAGCAGAAGAAGAAGAGAAGGGACCCTCCACCCGCCAGCCTGCCGAGGGAGAGGGCCTGTCGCCAGCACAGCACAGCAACGCAGGCGGAGTGCTGAGATGGAGAAAAGAGCAAAGTTAGACCATTAGGAATTGTTATATCCTTTGGTTTCCTCTCAAGTTTGTGCTGGGCTGGTACATTAGTGTAAATTGGCTTCATTTGCCTGCTCAGTACCTGGCTCTCCTAATACTTTGAGTATATAAGGATTTGAGTTTGTCGTGTCTTTTTTTTTTATTATTATTATTTTTGCTTCAGGTTTAGAAGCTCCCAAGAGATTCAGATTTTTCTCACCTCGCTGCATTTGGATTATTACTTATCTATATTGTGAATAAATTATTTTAATATCCTTTTAGAAAAAAAAAACAGCAACGTTTTTCTCATCTATCACTGCATACCAAATAACCAGTTTTTAAGACCCTGGGGGATTTAAAGCAAATTTATTTACCCTCATTGAAGGAAACGACATTAAACTTACCATGGTAAAGTGTTGTAATTCTCCTTCGCTATACATACATTAGCAAATTGAAAACACTTAAGTATGAATTACACCATGCTTTTGCTATAGATTTGGGGTTTTTCCCTATACTGCAAAGTTCTCGATGCAGTTTTATTTTCCCCTACAAGCTTTTTGAGCTACACTGCTACACCGACCCTCATTTTTTCAAAGCTGTTAAGGAGATATGTGTGCACAGGCCATTAATTGTTATTAATGTCAACTGGATACTGAAACCCACTACATGGTTTTGAAAAATCAGAGCTTATTATGCACCTGATTCAACCCTGTGAGGGCAAATAAACTCCACCAAATCACACTGAGGGAGGTACTTTTCCTTAGCTGTCTGCCCTGGACCTCAGCTACAAGTTTTTCCCACTGCAGTAAGGTGTGAATCAGCAGAACCCAGCTGCCATCTCTGCGCGTCGCTGGGTGTTCATCTCCCATCAAACTGGCAAATATCGCCCTGAAGGGTCTGAACTTAGCCCCAGAGTTAAAGAATAACATTTTTTATTCCTCTGTTACTTGCCATTTGATGATCTTCAAGACTTTTGGTAAGATTAATCAATTAAAAGTATTTTATTGAGGGGAAAAGAAAGAGGCAAACAAACAAAATTATTTGTCAGAAATAAAATACTGAGAGGTTGTTCCAAGAGCATAAACCATCATCTTATCCCTCCGTTCAAACAGTAGAATATGCTTCACCTCCCATTCGCCCAATAATCCCTAACATTTTGCTGCTTAGGTTACTGGTGTATAACAAAGCCACTTTTATCCTGCTCTGACCTTGCCTGGTATTCAGAAAAGGTAGGGAGAAAAGACAAGATTCACTTTCATGCATAAATCACTCTGTCGCGGTCACATCGTCTCCTGTTTCTTCAGTTCTTTGAGGTCTGCCATTGGAGCACTCTGATGGATGTCCTGCTGATTTACTAATTGCCAATACACACACTCGGTGGCTGTCTTATCAATTGCCGGCACAAGGCTTTCCATGATAAAGTGGATCAATTGTGTGCCGATCATCTGCTCCCTGAATTATCGATGTTTGACAGTGGAATTAATTTTTTGCCTGCTTCAAAGATGTCTGCCAAAAATGAAAGTGTACATACACACTCAGCCACAGGGTCTCTCTCTTCAAGGGATACAGTTTCTCCAACCACTGGAATCTGCCAGAGGTAGGAGCACCGTCTACATAAAAAGATTCATTTGTCACGGGTCAGGAACAAGGCAACTTTTCCCGATGACGGATATTTTGATTCATTAAAACTGTAAAATTGCTTTGTGACATTAAATTTACTCTTCCTAATTTTTTTTTTTTTCTTTCTTTTTTTTTTAATTTTACTCATACTAAGCAGTCAAACCACAGCTGTTAGGTCGTGGTTTGACCCTCTAGTAAATCCAACTGTAATGCAGGATCTGTATTGCAGCAATTTAAACTCAGTCTCCCAACTCCAATTTGCTTTTAAAAATCTAACAAGTTAACTTGCTCCAAGCAAGTTTTATGCTGGATCACCTCGCCATCACTCCAACTATATGGTGTACCATCTGTCCTGCAACTGGAATAAACTTCCATGCTTTAGGTTCTGGTTAATTCAACAAAAATATAGTTGGGAACCTACATTAGCTCCAGATGAAATTTAGACTGCTTTAGGTCTCCATTACTAATGATTTTGATATCACGGCCTTCAGTTCAGTGGGTTTCTAACCCACTTCCTTTCCTGGTCCCATGCTGTGGCAAGTAAAACTGATGAGTAATATGCCCCATACCCGACCCCTCCAGTCTCTCTAACACGAACACTGCAGCTGCCTTCAGGTTGTCAAGTCTGAAGGGGCAAATTTAACCTGTGAATATTTAAAAACACTTAATTTACATTAAAAGTAAGTTGGGCTTGTATCTTTCTACTCATTTATGGTTCAACAATCTTTAAATGCAACCCACCCCTAAACTTAACAGTAATCTCAGTGCAATTATAATAAACTGCCAAAAGGAGAAATGAAGGTGTCTTCCTGAAACCACACAGATCCTCAGAAATACGTTTTTTCTCTGTGTATGGGATCTTGCTTGAAAATGAATGTAACTTCCTTCGAAGTCATCTCTCTTTTACTTTTCCTTAAAGTCTGTTTCAAGAGAGACTGCTCAGGCACTACAGTGGGATCTTTCCAAACTCTGAGGGAACCCCCTCTGTTCTCTACAGGAGACAAATCTGCAGACTCTCAACTTTTCCCTCTCCTTCATCTAGCACTGATACGGAG